GGTGTTTTGTTTTTAAACAGTTTATGTTTAGGCCAAACTCTCTTCCCACTGTATCAATGGCCATTTAAAAGGCATTGTAATCCATTCATGTCATCACTTAAAATAACTGTATCGTCTGCATATCTGATTGTATTTATCAGAATTCCATTAACTTTCACGCCCAATTCCAAATTATGCAGCGCTTCTTTAAATATTCTATCTGAATGTAAATTAAAATGCTACAAGAACATAATCTCAGAACAATATTTTTTTTAATTGAAACGTTATAATCTCTATAATATATTCATCATCATCATCATCTAGCTTTTATTTATTGTGTCTACTGCTAGACATAGGCCCCCTTAACTCTTCCATTCTTTGTGATTTTGTGTTTTTTGTTGCCAATTTTTCGTGATACGCCTGATGTCGTCAGCCCAACGTGTAGGTGGTCTTGCTCTACTATGATTGTCTGCTCTTGGCCTCCACAACATCAGCAATACTCACCCTTCTTCGCAGATCTTAGTTTCTTATTTGGTCCCACAACGTCAGTCCCAGCATAGACCATTCCATTCGTCTCTGTGCCAATCGTAATTTGGAAGCCGTAGTCTTAGTTAGAGTCATAGTTTCTGCCCCATAGGTCATAGCCGGTAATACGCATTGGTCAAATACTATTCTTTTAAAGCTAATTGCTAATGGCTAAAGGCTAATGTTTAATGATAGTTTTAAGTCAAAAGTTCGTTCAACTTCCAATAAAGTTGCATATATTCCAAATAGGGCCAACTACCACCAGATCCAATGTTCAACGTTTGTAAAAAAGGTTGAAAATTACAGGCTATCACCGTATTTTACATTCATTTACTAGACTAATATTGGAAAGAACAACTACCATAATCAAATGGAGAAGAGTACTATAATCTACCATTATGGTGGAAGCTCAAAAATTTTAATTATATTAAAATTAATAAAATATAATAATTAATAATATAAAAACAACACGTATTGCATTTTTAATCCCTTGCACTTTTCTCTACAGTACGTTCATGCTTTTCGTTGTACTCTTCTAGAAAAACCGGATGTAAGTAACTTGGACTGAGAAGACTGAAAAGACGCCACGGTGGTCCATTTTTTTTATCTGGCAGAGCATTTCCCAGTACTTCAAACTGCCCGATATGGCCTTAAGTAACTATAGCAGTCATCTGATTTATCGTGATTGTTAATATACCTCGGGCTTCTTTGTATATGTGCTCAGGAAATTACATGATGGATTTATGCAATTACGAAAATTATAGGTGAAAGTCAATTTGAATATTTATACTTTTTTGTACTATGGATAAAAAAGCAGAAGGTTATCGATGAACAATAACAGTAAAAATTTTGATGAATAGAATATCACTTTAAAGACTTTTGACCATGGGGTACAAGCGTTGAAGACGGTATTTTTGGAATGCGGTTTTCCAGAGAAATTAGTAATATATAAGTTTTAATTTTCTTTAATCGTATGATACGCCCAAACACCTTCCCGAGCTGCTATCCCTAAATCAATATTGCTAAAGTCAACTAAACAATGCTTCGGACCTTCGCAGATGATCACTAATTTATGTGAGGCTTCAAACTGATTATTGACTTAAAGTGAATGTTTAGATAAAATCATATACTTACGCAGTAGATTTGATCTTGGTTCAAAAGGGCACCGTCTGTCGGGGCAGCTAGTAAATTATAAAAATTACAGTCCAGTTACATGTATTAAAAACAATAATATCCACAGACATTGTATAAATAATTCTAAGCTACAATATTGTTCGTAACAACAAATATTCACCAGGCCAATAAATCAATAAACGGTCAACAACTCTATACGTAGCAAATTTTTCTCATCCACGGATTACACCGAAAATATTCATTTTTATTAGGTTTGTACTGCTATATCCAACATGGATGTATGCATTACTCGCATATTTGCCTTTCGAGATTCCCAAATTCTATACATTTTCAAGTTTATAGCGTAAAATGGACGAACAAATTAATTTTACGGGGCAGAATGTGTATTGCTAACGGCCGCTATTTAGAGAACAAGTTCATGCCGACTGGAGCCACTAGTTCATCATTTAACAAGACTCTTATTAACGAAGGGATTAGTGGCTTGGGCGAGGGAAAACTAAGTACCATTCTTGAAGGTTTTTATAAAGCATTCACCTCTGACCTGTTCGAGTTACCCCCAGGGGATTTTAGGTAATTGGATTAATGAATGTGAATTTTATGTTCATGTATTTTATAGCTACAAAAACTAGATTTATTAATTGAAAAAAAAAAGGTCACATATAAACCAAAAAAGCAAATTAACTTCACTAAAATATTTCTACAGTTGTTAAAATATCTTTTTTCTTCAAATCTTTTAGACAAAAACTAGAGAAAGTGCAATATACATACAGTATACATTAATGTTCATTTAACCCTCCGTTAGGCACGTGGTAGACTGAGACACGGTTGGTCACGCGGTCTGTGATCAAAGACTATTTTATTTATATTAAACATAAAAGTTTTATACTTTGAATAATAATTTATTTATTTATTTATTCCACAGCAAATACATTTTACAAAATAAAATGTAATTACAAGTAGGGATTTTGACATTAGATATACGTACATGCTATAGTTTATTTTTATGAACTAGAGAGTAATTAGCATAATTTTAACTGGTACCTTCGACCACTCCATGGGCGTGCTCAAGATTAATTGAAAAATTACTTTGAATAATTGTAAAAAATAAATGAATTATTTCAGTGTTATAAAGTGTTATGTGTATGTAAACAAAAGTGACCTCTTTTATCACACACTATATTAGAACTGACTGGCCTACATTAAAAAATTTAAAAAATTCACATTTTTTTTAATTTTTAAAAATTACAAAAGAGGAAGAGTTTTTAAAACCGTCTAAGGTATGTTAAATGGATGAATAAAAATATTAATATAAAACTTACAGCTACTTGTTACAAATCCAAATCAGATTCAGAAGATGAACTTTCAGAACCAAGATTTATAATAACTGGCTCGATCATTTTATCAGTAATATTGTCCAGCTTCCACATTTTTTCCTCTTCTTTAATAGTGTGATTTACTGCCTTTTCCCAGTTTTCAGGTTTTACATTATTTACGGCCTCCAAAAACAACTGTTTAACATCATGAATTTTAAAAGTGGTATTTTTTCTTGAAACTTCACACTTTATCTGTGCCCATACCAGTTCAATCGGGTTTAATTCAAAATGATATGGTGGGGATCTAAGTACTGTCATTCCACGATTTTTTTCAATTTTATCAATTTCGTATTTTTTAAATTTTTCTTTATGAAAAGTTCAAAAAATATTACGTACCATCCCGGATCTTTTATAGATCCGGGATGGTACGTAATATTTTTTGAACTCAGCCAATTCTGCAAGTCTTTTTTTAACCACATGGTTATGGGCAGTCCTTCTATGTCTGGAGTGATAACTTGCATTATCCATTACTATTACATAGTTCTTAGGAAGAAGATCTATCATTTGTTCGAACCATTCTTGAAAGACATCAGCGTTCATGTCTTCATGGTAGTCACCGGTACGAGTTGATTCAAAAGTTAATAAACCACCTTCAACAAAACCGTCTGAACTGCCAATGTGTACTATTATCAGCCTGCGTCCCTTTGCTGATGGTGGGTTTAAACCAGTAGATAAGTTATTTACAAAAGCGTGCCTTTGACTTGTAGCAGTTTCATCCTGCCAAAATTTATTTGGTGTATGACCCTCGTTGATCCATGTTTCATCAAGATAAAATATTTTTCTTTTTTGGTTTCTCATTTCCTTTATGGTTCTTAGAAAATGTCTTCTCCATATGACAATATCGCTTCTTTCTAATAAAATAGACTTTCTAGGATACTTTTTCCAGCGAAAGCCTATTTCTTTTAAAAGTTTCCATAACGTACTTCGACTCATTTCTGAGTAATCCTTATCATCTCGAACTGAGACAAGAACTTTATGCAATGTTGGATATTCTTGTCTAAAGAAGAATTCATGCACTTTATGTCGAAGTCCTTCTTGAAAATGATATTCTATTTGAAATTTTGGTTTCCCTGGAGCATTACGTAGCATTTGAAAACTACCACATTTCTCTTCTTTAATAACTCTGTAAATCGTAGATTTCCCAACACCAAGTGTACTGCTAACTAACTCAACGGTCTCATCAACACCTTCACATAAACGTTTGTCTGTAAATGATTTAAAACAATTAAATATTAATGTTTTTTTATTAACTGTTAAAGGACCAATTTTTCGGCGTTTACACGGCACTTCCAAATTTTCCATAACACTAGTATACACAATAAACTGCACCTTGCAACTGAAGTACCTACTTTTAGTGAACTGTTAAGAATTTTGAATAAGCCACTTGGACCTTCCTACAAAATGGAAAAACCGACTATCACATTTTCTGTGGAATAAGTTTAGAAGGTAATTATCTAGTCAATCACTGTCGTAGATTCCTGGAATTAAAGAATTAAATGTTTGATTGTTAAAACCCTTACTTCGTGGAATGCACTCATTTCAGATAAAATAAAACGTTTTATTTTATCTAAAGAATTAAACTTTATTTTGCAAATAGGTTGGTACTTATTAAACTTTTATTGGTTATATATAACCAATAAAATAAACATCTTACATTTCTTGCAAATTCATTAGTACCTGTTAACCTCCATCACTCCGACACTGGCAACCTTATTTAGTGATTAGTAACCCTCACAACTATTGTATTCTATTCTGCTCCAACCTTTATACCTGGTGGTCATACTCAATTTAAAATTGTTTTCCTATATACTTCTGTAAACTTGTTGACAAATATCTGTTTTTCATTGAGTCACCAGTATCAACATTTTAGGGATTTGCATACATAATTTATTGTTTTATTACTCTCTCATACATAAAAATACACTGTAAGCTATCCGCTAATGTATTTATATTTTTTAATATTGTTTAACAATTTTTTTTTTATTTCAGGCCTTTACACGCCATTTCTTTCCAATGCCCATGAAACCATTCCAAAAAGAGTTACCCCCACAGCAGAACATCTATCCGACGATGTCACAACATACCACAAAAGCTCAGATCCTGTACATTTTAATATATCATTGGAAGAAGACGTATATTTTTTAGTTCTTCGGCCATCTAACGCCTTCTTTACAAAGTCAGTAGTAATAGAACGAAGAAGTAGAGATAATTATACAAGGATGGAACCTTCTTTAAAGGGGAGATCGTGTCATTTCCAGGGGATAATCGATGGCCAGGAAAATTCGAGGGTTGCTGTTTCTGCGTGTAACGGATTGGTAAGTTGCTCTTATTAAATAAACTTTAATAAACAAAAACCTAAACTAATTTTTGAAATCCGAAAGAAAATTATGAACAAATATACTTAAAAAAGGGAAAAGGGAACAGTAATTTTACTGTTTGTATTTTGAGAACGATTTCCGAAGTGGAAATTGAAACGTCAATAAACGTATTTTTATCTTTAATTGTGGCTTATTCCTAGTTAAATAGTAATTAATTTAAAATGCCACAAGAAAATAGCTTCAAAACTGTAATTAGAATCCTAACCTCTGTTTTACCCTTTTTTTTATTACCTTTCATTCGTGACCTAATCTAGTTTGTCTTAAAAGCATTGTCTTAATGGATCCCTAAACGAGAAACTAGTGTCCATGTTTTATGGCCACTCCAGTGTTCTATGGTCCTATCCTACCCTTAATAATAATTTTAATGCTTAAAATTTTTAATGCTACTTAAGTATGAATTTTGTATTATCTTTTTGTATTGTAATGCACAATCTTCTTTCTGGGTAGAAGATTTTCATGTTGTGACTGGCTGTATGGCACTTGCCTATGCCATTTAAAAAAAATACTATTGTGTGCATGTAAAAAACTGTTTTATTTCCATTGTGAGTCAAATTTGTCAACAAACATATATCTATTTAATAGCATTGAGACGGTATTTTCTAGCCAATTAACGGTTTCAAGAGAATAATACTGTTACGATTCATAGAAAACGTATAGTATAATTTTCTTTTCATCAAAACAACGTAATTCAAAGAGAAATATATTTTTCCAAAGTCAGAAATCTTTTATGCTGGAGATAACAAGAATCCTCGAATTTTACATCTAGACAAATAAACTATTTTACATAGTCAATAATCCCATCGAGTTCTCCAGACTGAAAATTCTTTGAATCATAATTTTCATTCGTATCCATAAATTTACTTTGTCCTTTTCACCCATTCATTCCGTTGCCAATTGTTTCGTCTTTCCATTCTCATACACTACAAACACAATGGCTTTTGTTTGAGCACATTAACTGGAAACTTACTTTAAACGAAGCATTAGAAATATATATTCGCAGATGTTTGTCAAGCCGGAATTTTCCTGGCGTTGACATATCGTTGGTATAAAGAAGCTAAATTTTAAGTCAACATTCAAAAGGGCTTGGAATCGAGACTGGTAATTATACAGGATAGTTCTCCCTCTTTCACGGATTAGCTCTGTAGTTTTGTTTATGTTTCAATTTTGTCGGAGTAGAAGATTTATTTAGAAGGTTAAATACTGCTTGGTGTTGATTTGTAAGAAAATGTTCTTCAAATAGCTACTAGGTGGCACTATTAATATGCTTCAAATGGAAAGAAAATTAAAAAAAGTTGCTAGTACACAAGATCTTCTTCTTGTTCCATGAGTGGTGTCGATCATTGCATATCATGTCTTCGTCCATATTGGCTTTATTGACAGTAGTTTTAAGTAGGGAAGTAGTTTTAAGTACAATCCTGACTACATAGCATGTGTATTTACATTCATTGAAGAATTTGGTGTCCAGTTACCTCAATGTGTAATTTGTGCGGAGGTATTAAGTAATGAGGCAAAGAAGCAGGCAAAATTAACTAGACACTTTGAAACAAAGCATAAAAATTTTGCCGGAAAACATGTAGATTTCTTTAAGAGGAAGGAGACGGAACTAAAATCGTCAAAATATATCCTTAAGTCATACTCAACTTATGATAAAGCTACTTTGAAGGCGTCATATCAACTTTCACTTAGAATCGCAAAAACCAAAAAACCCTTTACCGTTGGTGAGGAATTAGTTTTACCATGTATCGTAGATGCAGCTAAAGCAATTTTAGGTGATAAATACGCTAAACAAATGCGAAATAGTCCTCTTTCCAATGACACCGTTAGTAGAAGAATTGAAGAAATGGCATCAGATGTTGAAACCCAACTTCTAAAGAAAATTCATTCCTCAAAGATTTTTGCTGTACAACTTGATAAATCTACAGATATTACCAATAAAGCTATTCTTCTTGTTTATATACGATTCATAGATAAAGACAACAAAAAATTATCTGAGGAGTTCCTGACCTCGATTGAGTTGCAAGGTAACACAACCGGAGAAGACATTTTTAAAGCCATTGACGGATATTTCACATTTAAAAATCTTTCTTGGAAAGACTGTGTAGGACTTTGCTCTGATGGTGCCGCGGCAATGACAGGTCACAAAACAGGCTTGCCAAGTTTTGTAAGGAAAGAAGGAAACCGTGTTATTGTTTTAACATACTGTATTATTCATCGCGAAATGCTTACTGCCAAAAGATTAAGTCCCGACCTAAACAAGGTTTTGACTACTGTGGTAAAGGCCGTGAACTTTATAAAAAGTCGCTTTAAGATTACTTTGAAAAGTACTTCCCTGCTGATACAGATGTGAGGAAAAATAATCTGTGGGTGATTGATCCCTTTTTAGCTACCCACAATAATAATCTGTCTATTCAGGAAAATAAACAGCTTATTGAAATTTCATCCGATGATCATTTAAAAGTGATAAAATCTCACTGCGAAAATGTTGCAGATTTTTGGATAGGATTACTTGATGAAAGTCCACTGCTAAGTAAAAAAGCTTTGGAACTTCTTCTTCCTTTTCATTCCACTTATCTCTGTGAGGCATCATTCCCAACATTATATGTCATTAAGAATAAACACAGAAATAGGTTGCTAAATTTAAATGCTCCTATGAGACTGGCGTTAACTTCTTTCGATCCAAATATTGAGAAACTTTCAAGTGGGAAGCAAGACCAAGGGAGTCATTAACGTCTTAATTTGGCGCTATCTATGACTTTTTATTTTGTTTTTTATATACCTTTTGTCTTTCACTATGTATTTTCTTTTTTTTATTTTGTAAATAATAAATTCATTAGTAAAATTTCAGTGTTCATCTCATTTTACCTATTATTAGGAAATATTAATAATAATATCTAAGTGGTCCGCCAAGAGTTGTGAAAGGTACAAGTGGTCCTCAGTGATAAAAAAGGTTGAGAACCACTTCTAAACGATAAATAATATTACAAATAGGTATGTTTAAGGAAAAAGTTATACGCACAATTCACTCACAAATTTTTTACGTCCAGGATTTACATTTGCACATTTATTGTGACACCAATTCTTACACACTTGATAACGAATCCATTTTTGTTTGGATCGTGACTGCGAAAATAGTTTATTGCAGTAAATGCAAGCTGCATTGTCCAAGTCGTCTTCTTCAAAAGAAGATTCGCAATCGTCTTTAGAACTGTTTGTAGTTGAAACACGAACTTGCCTTTTCACTTTTCTTGCGTCTTATTTTCTTTTTTTCTGCAATTTTTTGTTTTATATCATCAATTTCTGGCGTTGAATTTAAATATCTTGTTTTACCCCGTTTTCTACCCCTTTTCTGAGTTGCTTTAGATACACCAGCTAAAGAAGGAGGACAAATATCTTCGACCGAAATGTTTAGAACTGACGATGATGTTGATTTCTGATCAGTGATTTTTGATAAACCTTCAATCGAAGAAACATTTTGGTTTCGATGTTCCGGTAGTGAGTTCTCGTCAGAACATCTTGGTAGTATGTTTTGTTCATAATTTTCTCTATTTGTTGTTATAGAAGGCAAAAATTGCCAATCATCGAAGACGTCTGGATTGAACGGTTCTATTTCTGTCGTTCTAAATGCATTTGATGGAACAGCACTTTTTAAATATGCTCTATTAAAGATACTGGCTACTTTAAATTGGGTAACTGTTTTACCTGGATTAATCGCAGCCATAATATATATGTCCGTATACATGGTATACATGGTGTAAATGTTTTCCAGTGGAAATTGAAACTCGTCTAATATATGTGCTAATGCTGTAAAATAGGTACATATATTTGGTTTATTAAAAGCTTGAAACCTTGCCAATTCATATTGGGGGATATTTGAGGATTTCGCTTTAAAAAGCCTCTGACCGATTTCCAGCCTGCCATCTTGTTTTCCTTATTAAAAATGTGGCTAATATTGTTTCTTTTAGCTACTTCGTATATAAGTGTTTGTAAATCTTTACCGGTCAGTCCAACAAAACGAGCTTCCACGGTGATAATATGGTCAGCAATTTCTTTTTCAATAGCAGTGGAAAATATTGGTCTTCGTCCTCACAAAGCACCTTTGGTACTTCCTTGTTTCTTATTAAAGCGTAAAGAAACTTTGCAAATTACAGCAGGGGGTCCATCATAGGCAGTGGTCCAACATAGGCACACTTCCCCTAATGATGTAATTATTTTTCGGTGCCATTGTTTGAAGTTTTCAAACATACTTTATTCATACCAATATTTCTGGATGTGTGATTGTCGATCCGATTTTTAACTCAGTGATGTCATTTATAAAGGTAAGGAAAAGTAGAAGACCCAGTAATGAACCCTGTGGTACTCCACATACACTGCTAATGTAACTAGAGTCTGTATCATTTGCTCTAATTGTTTCCTATTCCTTAAGTAAGATTGGAACCAATTCAAAGAAATACCTCGAATTCCGTAGAAAGTTAGTTGTTTTTATTAAAATGTGATTTACACAATTAAAAGCTTTGGCATAAAACATAAAACATAAAGACATAAAAAAGTGTCAGTATAAAGATTATTATTTAGTGCATGATAGACCTCATGTAGTACAGAAAACATTGCATCGCGGATCCATTTATTAGATAAAAAGCCGAACTGACATTGGAGCTTTTCTATTGTTAATTTACACAAAATATCCCCGACTTCTTCTTTTGCGATTTTTATATTTTCACAGTTTTCCTTATAAGTATATATAGCTATAAACATTATTTTTTTCTAGACAGGTGTTATTATTTCCAACAAGGGAAAGTACTACATCGAGCCTGCTCACCATCCTTCGAAAAAAGTCCAACCTGGACACAAACATTTAATTTATAAGCGATCTGCAGCGCTAACCAATTACCCAAAGAGGCGAAAAAAGAAAAGAAGAAGGCAGAATAACTGTGGTACGAGAGTACCAAAGCGATGGACACTGTAAGTACTTTTAATTCCCAAAAGCGTGCTCCTTCATATTTTTTTACATCAACCCTCTTAGTTGGTGTTTTTTGGTAATTATTCAATGATATTTTCTTTTTCTAAAGTATTATCAATCAATATTATCAATACTTTTTATTGTTTTTTTTCCAGTTTAGAGTGGCAAAATCAACATGGAAAGCTCAAAGTTCAGAGAAAGAAACCCAAACCAAGAAATGTTGTAAAAATACCAAACGTGCGCAGATCCAACATGAGAAAATATAAATACAGAAGAAATAAAAAGAAAATTGGAAGGAATCAAAGGTCTGTTAGTTTAAACCATTATGTGGAGACTTTAGTCGTTGCTGACGCAAGTATGGTGGATTTCCATCAGGATGGGGATATTGAGACATACATCTTAACTTTAATGAATATGGTAAATATACAAGAACATTAACCATACAGCTCAACGACTATCAAAGTACCTGGGAAGTACAAACAAGATTTAAATATTTTTGATGCTTCGAGTTTAATAATATCTTAGTCAACACCAGCGTATTTTCTTTCTCTTCTTCTTCTTGCTTTTTGTATGTAGTCTTTCAAGCCTGTTTATATGACTAATAAATCTGTTAGTTTATTGATTTTGTTGGTTAGGACTTTTGTGGTAATCTTAAGTGCGGTGTACAGTAGATACTGTAGATACCTTTATAATTTTTGGGGTCTTTTTTATCTCCTTTTTTGAACCATTGTTCAAACTTCTTGAACTTTGTTTATTTGAATTTTTGGTAAATGTAAATCAGTGCATCAAAACAATTTAAATTTAATATTATTTCTCCACAACTCTTTTTTTGATTTAGTTTAGCTGTATTAGTTAGCTAGATGCAAAAATGTTGTGATATTTGTTTAGGTTTCAATGCTATTTCAAGACCCAAGTCTCGGCAACAGCGTCAGCATCGTCGTCGTCAAAATCATCCTCATAGAAGACCCCCAATCGGAACCAGTCCTTAACGTTTCCACGAACGCAGACGTTACCCTTCGATCGTTCTGTAAATGGCAGCTGGGTCTTAATCCCGGAAAAGACTCGCATCCCCATCATCACGACGTCGCTATATTGGTCACCAGGAAGGATATTTGTGCGAGGCAGGAGGCGCCGTGTGGAACTTTGGGTGTTGCGCATATTGGTGGCATGTGCAAGGCAAGCAGAAGTTGTAGTGTCAATGAAGATAACGGAATCATGTCGGCGCATACCATTGCGCATGAATTGGGTCACAAGTAAGTATAGTAAGCTAAAAATAGTACTTTTTTTAATTTCAATACTTTAAAAACTAGGAACATTAACTATATTTTGAAAAAGACTTATATAACTCTACCTTAATAATTTACCAATACAAGATAGTTCTCTTTATCAACGGAATAATGAAATACTACAACAGTCTTTTTGGAAACTAATTATTAACCTGATCCTTGCCAGTACCATAGGCGAATTACAACAGGTAATGGAAAGAGTTTATTTAGGTAGTGAGGAATGTGGCCTGAGCCTCAACGTCAAGAAGACAAAGTGGATGCTGATAAGCAAAAAGCAACAATCTGCTCGACAATTACGGATAAGTAACATACTAATTGACCATGTAGAATCTTATGTGTACCTTGGCACCAACGTAAATGCAAAATGGGACCAGGCCATAGAAATTAAGGCTTAAGGAGAATAGAACGAACTAAAGCAGCATTAAACAATATGAAAAATGGACGCTGACAGAGACGCTCACGAGAAAACTAGAAGCATTCGAAATGTGGGTGTACTGACGCATTCTTCGTATATACTGGACCGAACAGGTCTATTAGGGTTTTCAAAGGCTATGGATATATCAAAGGCTATGGAAGAACATAAAAATCGTCTTACACTAGTAATTGGAGATTTCAATGCCAAACTGGGTAGAAAACTAAACAAAAAGAAACTTAAATAGGAGATTTCGGGTATGCTCAGAGAAATGATAGAGGTGCTACTTTGATGAACTACCTAGAAGAAAAGCATGAAAGTAGCAACACTGAAATGGAACTGGGCTGGTTACGTGGCTCGAATGACAGATAATAGATGGACAAATCGGATACTGGAATGGAGGCCAAGAGATGATGCCTACCTAAGCAGAGGTCGTCCACCAACACGTTAGACTGATGATCTAAAACGTTGTGATAGGAATGGGATGCAAGAGTCACAAGATCGAAATAGATGGAAAATTATGAGGGAGATCTATGTCCAGCAGTGGATAGGCAAAGATTGAATGATGATGGTGATGATGTTCCCTATTCAATTCAGTAGTAAAATACTCATATGGGAGGTACTGATTTAATGGATAGAAATATCGCTAACTATAGACCAAAATTGAGTGACAATAAATAGTGGTGGTAATTTTTTGTTCACCTTTTGTCCGCTTCAATATCTAACGCATGGATTTTATATAGAATTCACCACCACAATAAAATTCAATCTAACATTAAAGACTTTGTTGAAAGTATGCGTCCATTGGATTTATTAGGGTTTATAAGAAACATTGAGACAACATATCTACTACTCAACCCACGACAACTAAACCCTAATAAGACGCAGTGTTTTTTCAATAAATGTTTAAATTTAAATTGAACTTGTTGATTTTTATTACATACTTATGGCCATGTTCCAAAATTGGAAAAAAATTGTTTAGGCACAGGGCTATTGTTAAAAGTTTTAGAGTTTTTTTTAATATTTTTCTATAAGTTTAGAACATAAAATTGACTTACAGGTGCTATAAAATTTAAAAATAAAGTTTGGCAGCGAATTTGGTAAATTCAATTATGCACTTTTGATTACCATTCGTTTTTTTTTCCTCAAATCTATACTCTTAGTCTCACGTAAAACATGTCGCGTTCTTAATTCATTATCGGATCACATTATCTCAAAATTATTCAATTATTAATCCATTCTACTCTTTTTATTTCAATCTAAGGTCGCTCGGGGAAAACCACTTAATACTTATTACTCACTAGTTTTAATACATCAATATTTTATCAAGCGTAATTATTATTTGGATTATACGAGATCCCTGGTAATACGGTAAGAAGAGCTGGAATTTGTAATGAAACAAAACGACAAAGAGACTATGTAATTCCTGCTAGATGTATTCGGTATTTGCATAATAATTGCTCGAATTGACTAGAAAGACTATACAATTATATACTTTATTAAATTCTTGTACGACTTTTTGCCGCAGGGCTGTAACGTTCAGGGGGGACTAGTAGAAAATACCGAAATATGAAATCTTTAACTAGGTATTATATTTTATAATTAAATGCCAGCAAAAAATATTTAAAAAAACTATATCACCTAACAAAAATCCACGAGAAAAAATAATACTAAAGGAAAGAAAAGAAGCGGAAGATCCAAGCTGTTATATGGTTCATCTGATTTATCTCTCTCACATCTTTTAGCATGGTCACAGATAAAAAAAGCAGCTTATTAAAGCAAAGAAAAGAAATATGGACACCGAAATCACTCCCCAATGATTGAAATATTGGAATACTTTCCACCATACACAAAAAGGAGATATCTTTGAATGGATAGTGGGAAAATGCCATTCTGGTAAATCGACAATTTATCAGATTGCAATCCTGAAACAAATTTTAGAATAAACATATTTCGTACCAAAAATGTGCTGTAGTATTTTTTTCAAGAAAACACCCTATTAAAGATCACACTATAACCCTACATGGCAATGATATTCCAATTGTTTCGGAATTTAGATATCTTGGTGTCGTACTTGACACCAAGATTGAAAGAAATTGAGAGACATGGTCAGAATAATCAGCCGAGAGATCTATTTAGAAAATACGCTACCTGACAAGAGACTTCAGAGCCAGAACTTGGGCCATTGAAGATAACACTGGAACCCTGAGAACAAACAGAGAAGACATAGCAGAGACATGGAGATCGTATTGCAGGGACCTATATAAAGATGATCAACGCCAAGAGCTTGTCAGCCAAATCTCTGACGAGGTGGAAGAAGAACCTGATATACTCTAAAATGAAGCAAGACAGGCTATCAACAAGCTCAAATATAAAAAAAGCACCAGATCCAGATATGATAACAGCAGAAATGCTTAAAACCACAGAAGAAACCGGCGTAAAGTTACTTCATCTACTCTGTAACCAAATATGGCATTCCAAACAATGGCCTGAAGACTGGACAAAATTTACAATAACGACCATACATAAAAAAGGCAGCTTTCAACTGAAGGCAACTGAAAACATTCCTTCAAAGAGAAATTCCACAAGAGCAAACTGGATTTACCAAAGGTAGAGGCACTCGAGAACACCTGCTGAATATAAGACAGATAATCGAGAAATCTAGGGAATTCAACATCCCACTATACATCTGTTTTATAGATTACCGTAAAGCGTTCGACAGGGTCAAGTGGAGACACTTATGGCGAATACTAAAAGAAGTAGGCGTACCACAGCATCTAATTACGCTTATAACCGAACTATATGAACACACTACTGGATGGGTTAAAGTACTTGACACACTTTCGAACGAATTTCATCCAGAACGGGGTGTCAGACAAGGATGTATACTATCTCCACAATTATTCAACATATATGGGGAGTATATTATGCGAAGAGCACTTGAAAGATGGGAAAAGGGCATCTCAATAAATGGTCATAAACTAAACAACCTACGTTTCGCAGATGACACAGCCCTTCTTGCAAATAGTCAAGCAGAGCTGATAGAACTTATACAACTGATCGAAAACGAAAGTCAAATATTTGGTCTGCAATTAAACATATCAAAGACAAAGATCATGATAGTGGATAGACTACACAACAATCATCCACACATAACCACAATTGACCGGTTCGAGGTTGTGAGCTCATACTTATATCTGGGATCATTAATCACAAACACAGGGTCATTACAAGAAGAGATTAAACGTAGATCTGATCTAGCAAAAGTTGCCACAGCAAAAATGACCAAAATATGAAAGGACTGTCAAATTTCAAGAGTGATAAAGATGAGGTTGATCAACTGCTTAATATTCCCAATACTGACCTACAGATGTGAATCTTGGACTCTGAGACAATCGGAGAGAAGAAATATAGACGCCACTGAAATGTTCTGTTGGAGACGAATGTTACGAATTCCTTGGAGCGACCGTAGAACAAATAATTCAATTTTAAGAGAGCTAAAAGTTAACCAACGACTCTCTAGTAAAGTCCATCTCCAACAATTAAAATATTTTGGGCATGTTATGAGAGCAAACACAGAAAACATGGAAAGACTCATAATACAAGGAAAGGTAGAAGGCCGAAGATCACGAGGAAGATCCCCAACGAGATGGATAGATCAAATTACAGGAATATGCCAAAGACCTATGCATGAATTGAAAGAAATGACCAGAGACAGAGATCTCTGGAGACAAACAATACACGACATCACGTCGACCACTACACTCCCCCTGGGGGGTCACGATTGAAGAGAGAGAGGTGTCGTACTTGACAGAAAATTGCTTTGGACTCAACATATTAATTATACAATTGGTCGCTGTGAAAAAGGTATTAATTTTCTTAAAATGGTGTGTAAGAGATCGTAAGGTGTAGACCAAAACATTGCATTGAACTGTTATCGAGACCATATAAGATCTATAATAGATTACTGCTGTTTGGTATATGGGTCAGTAGGTGTGAAGAATGTTTCTCAGTTCCAGTTTTTATGCCGGCAATATAATTGCTAATTTTCGCGAGGATCGCTGTCAGAGGCAATCGATTTTAGCGTGGGTCCAAATTTTTCATCAAATTTGTAATGTCCTTTTATTCTTCGTCCCACGTTATGGAAAATAAGTTTAGTAGCAGTTAATAGTAGCAATTTAATGTGTAATTGCAGTCGAATTCTGCATGTCTCACACCAAGTGAATGTGAACAACACCAAGCTGCCAAATGAAATCGGAAATTTTTGTTTCAAAAATAAATGCAAACATCAGAAAGTGTCTACAGAAAAACAAACTGTTACGCCTATGTGTTCTTATTGAACCTTGTTTAATGCCGAGATTATACGAAATCCTGGAAGGCAGCTCTATAAGGTTAAGAAGCAAATAAAATCAACCAAGTGCTCGACGAGGACGAGTTAAATAGACAATTCATTTCGTTTCGTCGACAGACAATTTCAGTGAGCTCTTCCGGCTGCGTATTTTCCTTAATTAGTAAATTATGGGGATGGTAGAAGGTGAAATTGAAAAGAAAACCG